TGAGGCGCGCAATAATGAGTGGTTGCGTAGGGGTGATATTAGTGGCAACTGCGACAGGTATTTATTCTGCTTGGTATGTGCTGTTATTTCCTGGAATTCACTATACTATGCCTACTCATTCCCGCGATAAAGAGAATCGTGCACTGGGACGACGCTCAGCCAGTCCGCCCAGCAGGAAAACTGCACGACCCATGTTTGTCCAACGCTTGGCTCATCTTCACGATTCTATCAATACTTCCTTTGACGCCCAGATTTCCGATGCAAATCTCTGGGCACCGTTTCCTCCTCCCCCTCCCCCTCCTCCCTTTATTGTGACACTGCAAGGAGCGGCCACTGGATGGAGAGCAGTGACACCCGAGCTTGAGGAAGACGGCGACGAAGAAGACCAGCTTTTTCCTGACCCCGACGACACATTCCCCGGTCAGAATAGCGCACCTGTCCTTCCTCCTTCAGTTCAGCGTCCTGCAACGCCTCCGCCACCTTACGAGGCCGGTTCCCAGCGGCCACAGCAGACTTTAACCGCTCAGGCTCCACCTCAGGTTCAACCAAGTACGTTTTTTTTGTTTGTCCATGTACAATTACTCATATGGTGGTCAGGCTGGCCGAGGCTCGGATTGTTAGCGCCAAACGACCCCGCTCGTCCCCAGTTAATGTTTGTTGTTCCACTTGCATCCAACATTATTGGGCAGGCTCCCGTCAACGGGACTCTGTCAATTTCGAGCGGTGCGGATTTCAATACCGGCCTCCAACAATTGTGCCAGCGCATGCGAGTTCCTTTGTACACTTTGTTGGCGTACAAATGGCGCAATATGAGGGTTCGCGACCCCCCAATAACTCTTACATCTGCTTCAGACTGGAAGGATATGGTCTGGGAAGCGCTGCGAAAGATGATTTGAGCGCGAACACGAGAAGTGGTTATAAGGATTTACAACATGGTGCGTATCACCAACATATTTCATTCCCTTCTAAATGTTTCTAGGATGCACCGACCGATGCTCCCTCTGCTCCCTCTGCTCCTTCCGCTCCCTCTGCCCCTACCACGACTTCTCGGACACGGACGGTCAAGCCTGCGGAGAGCCTCGCCGTCGAGCAGCTTAAGGCTCTCAAGACACGTTATGAATGTTCAAAGCATCCCGGCCGCTACTGCTTTGTTCGCCCAGATAGTAGTCATCTTGATCTCACTGTTCAATTGCTATCTCTCTGGGCGAAGGAATGGGTGAGTCCTACATATTCTGACATTCTTACACTACTGACAAGGACATGGTTCAGGCTCTCAATAAGGATAATGCCGACTTGGAGCATCCGCCGAACCATATTGTCTTTCAGGACTGCTTTCTATCCGCCAGCCATAGTTGTCGCCAGAAAAAGCCAAGCTCACGAGAAGGGACTGCAACGCCATCTTCGATAACGCCTACCGTCATCAATAACCACTTTTATGGTGATGCTTCTTCATCGACATTGGGATTGGTATGTTTCTGTTGTGAACCACTTACCCAAGCTAACAGCTGCGTAGGCTGAGACCTCTTTTATGGATACGGCAGAGCTTAATGGGAGTACGGCAACATCAACCGTGGTGGTGGTGGCAGCAGCATCAGCGGCGTCGGCATCGGCGCCGTTGTCATCATCGTCGTCGAGCTTCCCACTCGACCAGAAGGTTGGAGGCAGCAAAGTTAGCACGGTGTATAGTGCTACGGACTTTGATTTTACTACTTTGGAAGCGGTCGATGACCCTCTGGCGTTCTTGCTCGCGACGCCAGATCCCACCTTGACGTATTTCTCCACACGTGTGGTCCTCGAAGGGCTTTGGCCGGCTTTCCCCTACTTTTTGATTGAGGCCGTTGATCAGCTGTTGAGGTCCTGGGGTGCGCCGTATGTTAACGGACTTCTCATTTTCCCCGAGAACACTCTTATTGAAATTGGGGTTCCGCCATCTATTGTATGTCCTCTCTTGGACCGTGCACAATTCCTCGCTGCGGAGGCAGAGGACAAGTATGAGGCCCAGAAAGGTGTTAAAGGTAAAGGTAAGATGTAGAGTAAAGTGTATGTGGGGCTTGAATGGTTATTATTGTACTATCGTTGAATGGAATCGTATCTACGCTAGACATAGTGTGAGTGATGGAACCAACCATAAACACTTTCCGGTGTCATAGACTCGAATACGGCCTGATTGAGCAATGCGTACGGGTTACAATCTGGCGCATTACCTAAATGCAGCTGCGCGAAGTCCTGGTTGCGTCGAAGCCATGCCTTCATCGCCGAAAAGCCTTCCTCAATCGGATCGAAGTCTGGCGAGTATGGAGGTAAAAAGACGAGGCGCATGCCACGCGCCTTGATTAGTGGTCGCAGGAGTGCCGACTTGTGAATGCTGGCATTGTCCATGACAAAAACACTGTTTGGGCCGGGATGTGCATGGGTGTCGTTGGAATCCAAGAGGCTGTTGACGAAGGCGTTGAAATCTACTCCCTTGAACGAGCGCTCGACGATTTCGAGGCCAAGAACGCCTGACAACGAGATGGCGGGAAGGACTGAGAACCTAAATAATGTTAGAGGATGGCAAATGGCACTGTGAAGGCTACGCACTTTCTTCCTCGTATAAAGAGCTCACGACGACGTGCTGGTTGTCCCTTTCTAGCCCACCCATATTGCCGTCCCGTTGTTCGTCGGTTGGTATATGACTCATCAAGGAAAATAAGTTGATCAGCTCGATACTGAGAGATTTCGAGCCAGAATTGATCTCGTCTATCTTCGTTGCGCTGTGAGGAGTCTCTAGTAATCTGAAAGGGTTACAAGACATTCAAGGCATAGAAGCAGAACAGACCTTCTTGTACGTCCAACCATGTGCATCGAGAGCACGCGAAATTGTCGATATATGGACGTCAATGTGCCTATGAGTAGACAAGAGGTGCTGTAGCTCCACCAAATATAGGTCTGCCCTCCATTCCAGAAGGCTCTTGAGATACTGTTATGGTATGAGCCAACTAATGGTTCTCGAGCGCATAGAATACTCACCATCATGTCAAACACATCAAGACTCCTTCTCCTTCCTAGGTGCTTCCTTGTTGTGCTGCCTATGTCTCGGTACAACCTCAGGACATAGTAGACTTCCCGGAGACTGACTCCGCAGGTGGCGGCTATGTTACTCCGCTTGCGGACAGACGCGACGGGACTTTGAGCCATCATGACAATGGCATCCTTCGTACGTGGTGGGAGTGCACGCTTTGTACCGTGAACGACCATGGTTGTAGTCCAAGTCAATATCGAACAAGTCGGCACATGCTAGGGGGTGTGCACGAAAAGTCTGGACTTAGAGGCAAGATCCAAACAAGATTCGATTTACTAAATAGGATATGTGTACAGGGTCTACACTACCCTGAGCAGAAATTTGGAGTGGAGCAAACTGCGGAAGGTGCACATTTCACTGCAACGCACTGTAAGCCCTGGTGCCGACAGGGTTTGGAAAGGGTTATCAAAAATAAACTGGCGAAATAAATTCTTAATTGAGGACCACTATTGGGATTCCGCTGCATTTGAAATGCCGTCGTCGCTTGGCTTCCGGGTGCCTGACATGAGAGTCCTTGCCGGAAGAGCAATATGTACCCTGCGGGGGACCGCCAAAGTATTTGGCGAAGAAAGTGCGCCTCGCTGGAACGCTGACGTCGGCCTGGTCCATCGGGATTGGGTAGATATCCAGGCCAATTGGCTTGAGACGGTCAGCAACAGTGTCTTCATCCAAACTTGCGTTGTTGTGTTTAAATTTAGGCTTTCATTGCCCATCAGACACAGATAAAGAGAACAGAACTAGGGAATCGTACATTCTTCAGCAACTTCAGCTTTTTCTTGTCCTCCTCTAGTATTTTGGACAGTCGCCGGTTCTAGCTCCGCGTCCACTCTACGACGCTTTCGGCGAGACTGTCTACAATCTGGAGAAGGCGTTTCAATGCGACGATTCACGTCGGCTTCCTCAGACTTGACCAGGATTGACATTATGAGTCGGGAGTTGGTCGAAGCTTGGTTGATGCTTTCGTTGACTTTAAATGCCGGCATCATTGGCGGCCTTTAGGGCCGAATAGCAGGCAGGGCTGTGGCAACGATTAAGATTCAGACGCTCCGTCTCGTCCTGGTCTCGTCTTACAGGTACGTATAACAAAGCGAATGTGTAGAATTCTTGGTTCTAATACGCGTCCGAAAGGTGGTTCTACTGCTCTGCTACCACCACTACACATTTCTTCTGGTGGATTATGACGCGCATGTTCAAATCCCTTCGTTACCTCTTCCCTATACGAAGTCACTCGTAAAAATAGCTCGGGAAGAGTCTTACAAGCTCACCCGGTATGACCATCAGTAGATATTCGTGTAAAAACGTCAAGAGAGACTAGCATATGATCCAGCTGCCATCTCGAGAGCGCGGGCCAAGAAGAGTACCTCCTCCAGTGATCACAACTACGTGTTCTCCCTGCGGCAATGTGAGCAGATACGCTTCTGCAAACTCACGTCAGCGCAAAGCGTATACATGCAGTGCGTCCTATTGGGAGATAAGACGTGTGTTGATAGCTAAGGTTCCGCGCCGCATTCCTGTGCGCCCAGATGACCTAAATATGCTGCCCATGGGATCTTCTCATCCATGTCAATGGCGATCAAGAATAAATGATTACTAATCTTGCGCAAATTTATCTTCAGCGGGATCAAGGATGTATTTCTGGACATTTGGGGGTCATAGTTAGCTGCGGCACAACGTGTTGGGCGTCTGACCAAACCCAGAAACTTCCTTCGGACCGCCTTGAATGGTAGAATTTTGGAGCGTTGTAATGCGGGCTGGATGGGTCGACGATCCTATCTGTGCACTACAAAGAGTTTGACTCAATCCATGCTCCGCGGAGAAATAGATTGATTGATGCCAGATGTCAGTCGCGCTGCCCCGCTTTGACATCTTCGAGAGAAGAGTCTCCGAGAGGTACATATAATCAAGTGAAGCAAAAGTCTCCCCGGAGCTCGCAGTCCCCTACTCTGTGCTGGGAGTCGAACCCAGCGCTACACCAGCATAATGATGGTAGGCTCGTGTACTAGCCAATATACTATCAGAGATCAGTACGAAACAATTATCTCCCTTCGACTCTGCCCCCAGCGCCCTTGAACTCGTCGGGCACAGGTGGAACTGAATCTCCCACGCTAGAGTTTCCTGTCTCCTGACTACGCGCCTCAAGAGGACGAAACTCTAGATCCCGCACGCTGTCGGAGGTCCATTGCCCATCCAAGAAGACTGATCCCCGCCGCCCCAGCGAAACACGTCCCTACAAAGATAATCACATTCCCATACTTCCCCCCACTAAGCGGGAACGCCTTTCTCATATCCACCGTTGAACCCGTGATTAATCCAGATGATATCGGAGTCGACAGAATGTTACCCAAGCCTCTAGAGAACAAGAAGTACCCAAAGAGCGTCGTCGTCAAGTTCGGATTCTCTTCTACGTCAGAACATCAGATCAAACCATTCTACGGACAAATGAGAGGTCCTACTGGCGACAGGCCGAACGAATGCGGTGAACAAGCTCGTCCAGCCGCTGGCGAGCATCCCGTAGGCTATACCAAAGGAAAGTAAACCAGCGAGATTCCTTGACAAGAGGCCCCAGATCACAAAGGTCACGAGAGAGGTGGAAAGCAAGGTTGACATTGCTAGGAAGAACGGGTCGAGGACATCGGAAAGGTATCCCATCGATATACGCCCAAAAACCGAGGCGCCTAGTAGAGTTAGGTCCGCATCAGATTGTTAGAATCTCTGGCTGACCGTTTAGCAACGCCACAGTCAACGCCGCTTGACTCGTCGTTATGCGAAGTTCGCGCGCGAAGGCTACATGAAGGGTTAAGAGTCAGAATGCAACTGCAGTGACACTTACTCGGAAGCCAGACGATGGGCACGAAATATCCAAACCCCTGTAAGGTGTTTGCAGCGAGCGCAATCCAGATTGTCGTGCTCTTCATCCATTCCTTGCTCTGTGGCGCAGGAATCTGCTGATGCATCCTGGAATCAGGAATTCGCGGCCGCACGAAGGGAAGCAGAGGAACCAAGATGACGGCAATGGCAATGGAGAATATGCGAATGGTTTTAGGCAGACCGTATGCCTTGATGAGCTGCGGGATCGTCAATGGGACGATTATTCCTCCAAAGGCTGTACCTGGTTCAATCAAAATATAAAGTCAGCTGCTAGCGAAACGACACTTGGTTTCTGGGTACTGACCGGCGAAGATAACACCATTTGCCATGCCGCGTTTGTTGACGAACCACTCGGTCATATATGAAATGCAGCATGCGTACAAGAAAGAGCCTGCGATTCCGTATAAGACTCCCTCGAATAGAAGAATCGCAATGACCTAGATCAATACTGTTAGCCTAACGGGGACGTGTTTGGGCATGATGCTCTCACACTTGTGACATAACTGGCAGCGAATAGGCTTGCCCAAGCCAGCGCGACTCCCACCCACATGGACGTTCGTCGGTGGTAAGGATAACGCGCGTAAAAAGGATATAGCACAACCCCTAGCGCGACAATCAATGACTATCAGAGTATAAGATTCGGGTGCGGGTTGTACCAGAGCAATAAATGATCCCAGAGCTCAACGGACCAATCACAGGAAGTATAGTCGACGCGTGTGGCTGCGAATTATACTTGGGCGTCGTCAAGTAGCCTGCGAGTCCGAAATCCACTCGTTAACACCTCAGCGACTAACGGCGGTGAAGGCTCACTGTCCAGGAAGATACCATTCGCGCCTTGGAAGCCCCACACCAGGGCCTGGACGAAGAATGAAGCCAAGAGCTGTGTGCAGTCACGAATTAGGCGGCTTGGAGTGCACAGAAGGATCTGGTAATCACAAAGGAATAGGCTTTAGCGCCTCCGTCTACTGGCGCCAAGGAAGATTCGTTCAGCATCATTGAGCTGGTGGGCAAAGAGTCTCCTCGATTGAGCGCAAGTGTAGAGCGAGAGGAAGGGAGCGGGGTGCGCGCCGCGAGTTCTAGCTCATCTGTACTAGTTTTATTGGGAGACAGTGACATGATGCAAGAATGACAATCACTTTCCAGGTTCGCTCCATCGTCGAAGCAGTTGGGCAAGCGCCGTCGGCCGAAGCCAAAGAAGAGCATAAGTAACATCGGACCGACAAATCCGGTGCTCTGCCTCAGAAACGTTCATAACCTAAACCTAAGTCCTCTCACCGAAGTCTTCATCGATATTCACAAGTAACATACGAGCATCATGTCATCATGGACGTTTTCTGACCGCGTTAGGACGCGGATTCCTGGTGCTAGGTCTCGCAGTGTACCCTCCAACAACGCGAATGCTTTCTCCATCTCCATCTCCATCAGACTCTGTATCAGAGTCCTCGTCCGTTCGTTTTCGCTTCTTGCCACTAGCGCCCGGTTTCTTTCGTGGACTTTCCTTCAATAACGCAAGGTCTTCCACTTGCTCTTCCTTCTTCGGTCTTGATCTCCCCTCCTTCTTCACCTTCGACTCTCCAGCCCTCCTCTTGGTCTCGGCCCGTTTTGCTTTAAGCTCTGCATCAAAGGCGTCAAACTTGTCCAAAACAGTCTGTTGTATCTCTTCATCGTAGCCAACGCATTTCATTGTCCATATATTGACTTGCTGTCAAACACAACTATGAGATTCTCGTGATCTCGAATTGTTCGTTTGACTTACAAAGTCACCGATGTCGTATTCGTGCTCCACGTCCTTCGCGGTGACGGTCATGAACTGGTTGTCTTTATCGGCGGCGGCGGCTCTACAGTCTTCGTCCGTCGGCTTCCGTCCCAGCTGCTTTCTGAGATGAATGCGGATACGATCCTGCCTGTGATACCACTCTTCGCCCGTAACCGTTTGCGCCGTCCACGTCGATTTCATCTAGTACGAATCGTCAGGAAAAGGGGCCTACTTATAGTCTCGAATGGGACATTGTCGTCTTACCAGTCGACTCTGGGCCTTCCATTCTCTCGTCGTAAGAGGAGCAGTCCTACCCATCTTATACTCTCCAAGATACAACCACTGGCCCGACCCAAGGAAAATGAGCATACTCAACGGGCTCATATCCTCCGTCCAGTCATCTTCTGCACCGGCGCCAAAGTAAAGTCCAGGAGCTCCGGGGATTGATGGCGCGTGCGGGTTCCAGGTGAGTTTGAGGGAAATGAAATCCCGTCTCCTCGCTTCCGGATGATCCTGGAGGAATTTCTTGCCAGAGGACCTGCAAGTACCTTGCGGCGCACCGCCGAAGTGGTGTGAGAAGAATTCGCGACTGCCTGGGACACTAGCATCTGCCTGGTCCATTGGTACTGTATATACGTCCAAGCCGATAGGTTTAAGGCGCGCAGCTAGCGTGTCTTCGTCTAGCCCGAGCTTGAAGGCGTTAGCGTCCTTGATCTTAGGCTGCGTTCGAAACATTCAATGAGACAGCAGACATATACAGAGTATCAAAACGTACGTTCTTCAGCAGCTTTAGCTTTTTCTTGTCCTCGCCCAGTGTCTCGGTCGCCTCCTCCTCCGCGACTCTACGACGTTTACGGGACTGTGTACGATCCGGAGAAACTGTTTCGACGCGACATTTCAGGTCCTCATCCTCGGACTTGACCAAGATTGACATTGGTACGAGCTAGGAGTTGAACGTTGAACCAACGTTGAACGCGGAGTTTGCAGTCAACTGGCATTACGTGACGGTGTGAGCGTAAAGCTGATGTCGGTCGACCCTGTTATGGCCGAAGGGTTGTGAGCACTGAGTACTGAGGAGCGACAATCAAAAGCGTGCTTTGCCCAGAAGAATGTCAACTTGCATAATCGGCATAGAGCAGGACCACTGTACTTCATAGTAATTGATGGATTGCTCATTACTCATCCGCAACAACAACAACACTTTTCGCCTTGTTCTTACCCAGCTGGACCGCCAAAATTGCCTCCCCAGCGAACTCCAATCCTCGTGTCACGTCCTCCCTATACTTTAATTCACCCCGCGCAATAAGATCGGGCATCGTCTTATAAAACTCTTCCAGGTATTTGGGATCCAAGTCCGTCACGATGAACCCAAACAATTTGATTCGCCCTCGTATGACTTTGCCAAAGTGCTACTGACTGTGAGAGTGGTGAAGAAAGGTAGTGCGAGAAACAAACCTTGAATTTCACCCCGTCGGTATTGTTGTATGTAGAAATGAGACCGCATTCAATGAAGCGAGCAAAGTTGGCGGAGTAAGCAAAGGCTAAATCGAGTGTTTCGCCCCCTACGTTGTCCCAATACCTAAACATGGTAACTGTAAGCGATGAAGACAGAGGCCCTCGATTCACATACACATCAATCGGACCCTCTTTCTCCAAAATCTCCTGCGTGTTTGTGGTCTTGTAGTTGAACGCAACATCAGCACCAATTGACTTCATGAATTCCACCTTTTCATCAGAACCAGCCGACGCGATGACTTTGAGGCCATCGCGTTTCGCTAGCTGGATGACCAAGCTGCGCGGTGTTGTTATGGGAAAATATGAGCTGTTAGAGAAAAGTTGCGTACGATCCGACAGGTCCTGCATCAAAACAATGTCAGATCGCGAGAATAAGTAAGTTGGTCGGGAATGAGCACCTCCTCCTGTGGTAATGAAAGCGGTTTCTCCCTAATGCGACAATTTGATTCATTGGGGGTCAATAGACAAGCACTACGAACAGATTTGGCAGCAGAATATTCCTTCCATGCATTGTAAGCAGTCCGTCCTGTTGCATATTAGATGCGCGTCAACGCCATAAAGTTCTGTGACGCGTACCTGGCATTCCCAATGGACCTAAATAAGCTGACCATGGGATCTTCCCATTCGCATTTGTAACCTTGAACACGTCCTCTGGAATAAGTTCATCTGGGAGTAGAATAACGTATTCCGACAGATCTACGGTCTACGATGAGCCACCTACACACTGACGTTGTGATTTTGGACACGAACCCATGAAGCCAGTGACATGGTCACCAGCCTTGAAATTAGGATGTTCTGAGCGCAGAACGCGCGTCACAGCATAGCCACGGACACTGACGAGGCATAGTATGAAGGAATGCAACGGAACCAATCAACCAGTAC